ATATATATATACCATATATATATATATATTATACCGAATATATATATACCGTATATATATATTATACCGAATATATATATATACCGTATATATATAGCTAGTACCGTATATATATAGTATATATATACTGTATATATATACCGTATATATATAGTATACCGAATATATATATACCGAAATATATATATATTATACCGTATATATATGTACCGAATTAATATATATTATACCGAATATATATATACCGTGTATATATAACTAGTACCGTACATATATAGAATATATATATACCGATATATATATATACCGATATATATATCGATATATATATATACCGATATATATATATATATATATACACACACCGAAATGACCTTTTTTGATTGTGCAGTGCACACCGTGTATTTCCGCGTTTGTTACGTAGATGTGGTAATGCTCGGGTTTGGTATGCATTTCTACGATGCTCTCACGTGCCTATGTGTGTATATGTGCACGCGCGCGTGCTCGGATTCGCCGCAGCATACGTGATTATTATCAAATAGAACGTGAAATGCATGCGGCCTCACGTTCCTAGGAAAAAGGAGATACGACTCGTGCGTTCAATTAATAATTGATTTACTCGTTTCGACAGATCCACCGTGTGAACAATTCCCACATTTTGATTCTGTTTTCTTGTAAGAAAAATATAACTCGTCGTTGATTGACGGATATCATTCATCAACATTAAAGTATTCATTGTTCTAGTAAAGTATAATTGTTCTAATCAAGTATAATTAACAAACATCATTCATGAACATTGAAGTATTCACTGTTCTAACAAGGAATAAAGTAGTGAATGAGACAAAATATATCAATAAGGTAATATATGATATATAAAATATATCAATAAGATAATATATAAATAAAACAAATACAGTATAATAGAAAAGACCAAAGTCCTTTACAAGAAATGGATAGTAGCACGTACACAAATCTTTTTGTGCAGCAATATAAATCTTCGCGTTCCGTGAGTTATAAATAATGTGGTGCTGTTTTGAAGCAGGTGCGAGGTAAGCCAGAAATCAGGCTTCAATGATGATTCAAAGACCGTAACGGACGGCAGCAGGTAAGCGAAACCATAACGATTCCGAGTAACGCAAAGTTGCATGGCGCTGCTACTTTCGCTGCCGCCACGGTTATTTGTGTATACATAGATGCGTTCAGGTGAAACGCACAGATGCGCCGACATATAAATAGGAGAGAGGGTGCCAGCATAGAGCAGCTAACCACGACTTCATTCCTCACGCGGCGCGGCGCGAATCGATAAACGGCGACCATCACGCAACACACGAACCCATCCTCCATTGCCATTTACCAACCATCCTAACCTCTGCGACCACGGGCTGCAACGTTCCCCGGCATCTCGTACGACATCTATACGCTGCACGACGTGTTATGATCATAGCGGACGGAGCTCTCGGTACATCGACACATCCGATAATAACGTAAGACATCGACTAAGGGCAGAATGTTGCAACGCTTTCTCACGTGTCCCACGTTCCGGGGATCACTCTTGACCCCCTTTTACCATTTTCGTGTCACGCGCGATGTTATCGGTGCCACTCGGTCTTTATGCACACAATTTACTTTTGAACGTTATATCACGTGCTCAGAGTTGATAAACGACGAAATAATTAACGTTCAAATCTACCTCACCTTGGTCGAAGGAATTCTAAAGTAAATTTAATTAAGAGACCATTGCCTCTTTTTTTTTAATGGAGAAACAACTTCAACTGTTCACGTTCAATGTTAACTATGTCTTTCTAATTTGATTTTTAGATAACGTAAGTAGCAAACGAGAATTGAGAATTTCGTTCGCCCGAAGAATTTCACGGCAATTTGTAATAAACAATACTAAAAACAATCGCGATCATTTATAACATTGAACGAAATCTAAATTATTTCGCAGTTTTAGTATCAACTGTAATCCATTTATCAAAACAGTAATGAGAAATTGCAACTTGCCAAACATAATAATATATGATACCAAAAACAAAATACTACACCATATACCATAAGTACTGAAAACGAGCATAGTGACAAAATAGTAACAAAAGTGACTTCCCATGCTTTGAATGGATTTGCCTGATCTCTTTAGTCTTTTCTTCCTTTGATTTAAACCTAAGGTCAAGATTGCCTAATCGAAAAAAAAAAAAATTATGAAATTAATCGCTAACAAACAACAATTACAACGATCACTGTCACAATTCTGATTGTGAAAATTTGAAAGGCCAAAAAGTGCGAGTCAATGCACATATTACAATGTTAGTGATGTGCAATACTTATCCTGATTTAATAAATAAAACACAGACAAGAAATAATAAATAGTTACCACTATTACAAATAATATAAGAAATAAGAAATAATAAATAGTTACCACTATTACAAATACAGTCACTATGCTCGTTAAAAGTTTTATATAATATAACCAATCACCCTTGTCGATTCAGACTTTTCGTCCTATGACATGATTGGGCGACCAGAAAGACAAAAATACATGCGACTCACAGTTAAATGCGAAGAATGTTGTCATTGATCTGTGGTGGACCAGGATCATTGTGAAGTTCATTATCAAATAAGAATCCCATGGAAGAAATCTGCATCAAAATATTATAATTTTTTCTTAAACGGAGGATTTCTTCTTATTGTTAATTATTTGACAAGTGTGAAATAATAAAAGATGAAATACAAAATTTCAATGATTGAATTCAAGAATAAAAAATTTAAACTTATCAAATTTTCAATCAGATTTCATTTTCTAATTAATAATAATTAATATAAAATAAAAGAAACAGAATTCAATAAAATAAAATGTAATGTCACTTACAAGCACCATTAGATTCTTTCGAGGGAACAGGAAGAAGAAGGAATGAAAAACCATCGATAAAATATACCTAAATTTAAAAAATTTGAGATAATAAAACATGAAAACTTAGAATTTTAATAATAAAAAAATTAAATTTCTAATAAACTTCAAACTGTTTCAAACAATTGGAACTCTAACATAAAAATATGTATGTATTTATTTTTTAATCTTATTTTTTAATTGACAATTATCAGAGCAAGATACAAAAAGTAAACTTAATTGGATACAACATGCAGAGATTCTTACATGCTTAACTCTGTAGCACCGCTGAGAGAATCCGTCTGAGAGAACAGGACAAAGTAGAAGTTGTGAAATACCTTTAACAAAATATGTGCAACTTTATAATTAATTTAAAAAAACATACTGTGAATTATTTGGAAAGTTTGAGATAATAAAAAATAAAATTCTATTCAAATTTGAAATTTTAATAATGAAATAACAATAGAAATTCTGATTGTTCTAAAGGTTTTAATCTAAAAAACTAAGAATGCCTTCTAAAATACAATGAACATTTTCAATATTGAAACTTTACGATTTCATGGAAAATAAAATGTACAAAAATACTTACATTCTTGTATTTCAGGACAGGCTACATTCTCTTGTGAAATCTTAGAGCTTTATTCGGAAACGAATATTTTAAAAAAAACACATCTGTAAGAGAAAGAATAATTAAAATAATTAGAAATATTATTATTCATTACAAAATGTCTTCTAATATTCTCAAATATCTATGAATATTCTGTAATACAACCAATTTCTACAAATTATAATTTTGAAACCGTTATTAAAGTTTCAAATATAGTCTCGTATTAATCAAATATGGCGCGCTTTTTTGTCCGTTAACAAAGCTGCGCAGAAGACGCGATGCGCAGAACATATTCAAACCTGTTAACGATAGCGTCTTTTTCCAAAAATTGTCTAAGAAAATTGTATACACACGAATTACATACTAAATAAATGTTATCAATTATCCAATCGAACGAGAAAATAAACACAAGACAAATAAATCTTACCGTAACGTCGCAGCGTCGGAACTTTGCGATGTTCGCTTGATGCCTCAAAATTAGCCAATAATCTGTGCGGAAGAAAACCAAAACTTTCAAATAAATGTAAAAGGAACAAATTATATAAAAATAGAATGATTGAGATAAAATTTCGTTTTGAAAATTTACAATACAAATTATCGATAAATATGATACCCACAAAAACGATCGAAGAAAAAAAAAATTTAATTACAAATAATAATAATGCACGATAGATAATTATGTGAAAAACGTACGTTAACTATACGAAGGTAACAATAATGATGAAAAAACAATGATGAAAGTATTACGCAATTAATAAACGTCACGACAGAGAGAAACACATCTTGACACCTCGAGTGTCAACAATAGACTAACCTCCGCGCAACAAGTTCGCGTCGCGAATTAATTTGGTATAGTGAGGTTTCGAACATACACAAACAATGATTTATGGAAATGGAAAATGCCCTGCGCGAAATTTGAATAAATATATATATTATTATGTCTACACAGGCTAATTTAATTTGATTTTGTTAATTCGAATCGAATTTTTCAAGTAGCAAATATATCGTTTTAATGGGAATTTAATTGCATATTGTATCAATTTTATAAAAATTTTCATGCTTCGCTGTTCGTCTTAACATATATTTCCTTACGAACGTATTCACGAAAATATCATTTACGAGGAAACTTTTATGAATATACAAACATGTATGTATGCTATGTGCATCCATTCCTAACCAACATCGGTGATTGGATTAAACATACGAATGTACGTACATAATAATGCTTTTAATTAATACACACTACTCTAAATCGTAAACGCATTTGATAATGAAAAGGCAGATGTAAAAGCTATTGATTACAATCTTTACCTGATAACTGATTCTTTTTCTTTTTTTCACTGTGCTTCCCGCTTAAAACCAACGGTTCCGCGTTACACGTCAATACTATAGATTATAGATCGATCGCGAGAAATATCGATTATACTTTAATTCTGCGTTTTACCGTTTCATTGGCGCTGTAATCTTTGCCTAAAGCTAAAATCATGGCACACGTATATACTGTCCAAACGGAACAAAAAAATTTCCTTTCTATAACTTTCTTCCCGTATATTGAATGAGACAATTGATTTAAGAATCCTAATAATTTTGTTATAGAATCTTGGTTTAAGTCAAATAAACGTAACTTAATTTTAAGTTTCATTAATTTAATGAATATAACCTATTTAATTTGGTAGTGATGAAGCAACGCTTCTTGACAACGAAAGAAACAGATTCACGACAGATTTACAAAAGGAGATCCGGAGATTCGGAGATCCAAAGAAATATATCTAAGTATCCGGAGAACCGTGGTTGTTATATATCGTGAGTACGAATCATTTGCATTCACACAATAGTTGCACGATACTCACACATAATCGCTGCTTCGAGCACCGTGCAACATGCACACTCTCATTTGCATTTGTTCAATTTTTAAACGAAATTAGCAACAGAGCAATTCGCCGCATTGAGAAATTGAGGAAAAACGTGCTTCATCCCGCTGCGAAGGATAGCTTCGTCGAAGGAAGATCGAACGACGTTCCGCGACAAGGAAAGATCGTCGAAAGTTTGGCGCGAAAACAAAGTGCGCATGTAGGAGAAGTGGCGGACTAGATGGAGCTGGCAGCGCAGTGAAAACAGAAACCCAAACCGGTCATGGAGGCTAGTTAACGACTGTGCGCCGCGCTTACGAACAGTAATTTCACCAAGATATTGTGATATTTACGCAGACGGCGGATAGTCAACAGAAAGATTGCCGGTTTGAACTAAAATGGGTGCATACTTGTCGGAACCGATTACGAAGAAAGTGTCAAGCGACGAAGTGGGCAAGAATGTCGCGTTCGGCGCGAGTTCCATGCAAGGCTGGCGAATTAGTCAAGAGGTAAGCCAAAACCCTTGAGCGGCCAGTGCACCGTTACCTAGTTTCGTTTCAGTCAGAGAACGGTTTGCCGGCTCACCCTCTCGCCACAGTATTGCGACGTTCATCTTGATCTATCGCAAACGCAATCCATCTACGCGTCGAAGCGCGAAATTCAGTCTATGTATCCCGATTCGAGAACGACAAGTACCAAGAGTGCTTCGATGTTTCGCTTGTGAACAAAACATACATATTGCAGAATTAAGAGTATTCGTTGCCGTGTGGGTTCGACCACACATCATGGAATGAAAGTTCTTGCCATCTACTCCATGATATTGCAATTGTTAATATAATTATTAAATTTGCTGTGATCGAGAAAGTATACGTTATCTGTATATTCATTGGGATAGTTTTTTGAGCAACGAAATATAACTAATCTACAATTTTTACACAATGTTCTATAAGAAATTAAATCTTATGTATTCCTATCTGTAAAGTGATACAATTTATTTGTATATAATTCTTTAATATATTTTGACAAGTTGAAGGTATATTTGTTTATTGATAATTCAACTTTGTATGTAACAAGACTGAAAGTAACCTTGTTTGTTAAAACACTGATTACATATGAGGAGTAAATCAAATGTCAAAAAGAGCCTTAAATATCTGGATTTCTTGAGATTCGAATAAATTTAAGTACATGTGATATATACATTTGAATAAAACATATAATTGTTTGTTTATAGGATGCACATAACTGTTGTATAGATTTTGACGAGAACGTTTCGCTATTTGCCGTGTATGATGGTCATGGTGGTCACGAAGTAGCAACATATTGTGCACGTAATCTGCCAGATTTTATTAAACAAACTGATGCGTACAAAAAAGGAGATGTTAGACAAGCTCTGCTCGATGCCTTCTTAGGCTTTGATGCCACACTTGAGAAACCTGAAGTAGTTGGTATTCTTAAAGAACTTGCAGGGACTTCTACTTCAGAAAAGAAAAAAGATAATTTAAACGAATCTGGTGCGTTTCTTTCATACTCAAACTATATTTTTATATGAATTATATCGATGTAAATATTAAACTGATAATTATAATATTTCATAATTGTTTCATCTATTTCTTTGTACAAGAACATATTTAATAAAGTTGTCTTTGTACATTATATTACACATAGATGAAGAAGAAAATGTTAATAATCTATGTATGGAGGCAACAATGCCATTGGAAGAAGTAATGGCAAAATATCAATCAGAATCAAATCCTACTGTAAAAAATTTGAAAAACGAAAAATGCAATAAACGAGGATGTTCTGCAAGTCCTTATTTACGTGGTCGAAGAGGTAAAGAGAAAGCATGCTCTTCGTCATCTGGTGCAGGATGTTCATCATCTTCATCTTCATGGAATACAAATGAAACTGATGTGAGTAGTTCCAGCCAACCATGTGGATCAACTTTGTCTAGTATAACAAAAAGGAAAGAATCGGAATGTCCTGGAAACAATGAAGCTGAACAAGTTCTTGATTCAACTACAAGTAATGGAAATGCACATGTATCTGTGCCAGTAGGATCAACAGCAGATGTGGAAGGAACAAAGAGTGCTGATATGCCCGATAGCTCTGAAGATGTAAACAAAAAAGTTACAAGTCCTGGCAAAATTACATGCACAGAATTAAACGCAAATGAGGCAGAATTAAATGGTGCAGAGTCAAAGCGAATTGAAGATGCAGATAGTAGTAAAGGTGGGGGTGACAATGTATCAAGCAGTTCGTGTACTCCAGTTGAAAATGGAGATGCAGAACAGCAAGAACGTATAACTAGCACTGGTAGAAGAAGAATTCAACCTGTCACTCTATATCATACTCTTCTAAAGAAAGACAATGAAGATTCCGAGGATGATGATGATGATGAAAATGACGAAACATTTGATGGAATTCCAGAAAGGTAGATAACTTAATAAAATAAATATTTATATATAAAATACACTGCACTCTTATCATACAGTTTTAGCGATGAAGATGACATAGAAGATATCGATGAAGATGAAAGTGAAGAAGATGAAGACGAAGATGAAGATGAAGATGAAGATGAAGATGAAGATGAAGA